TGCTAAAAAAAATGAGATTCGGGTTAAGTTGGGCATCTTAAAAATTCAGAGAAACACAAACAACAATATGAAAATAAGCCCAGTTTAATAATGGGGAAATTAACTCAGTTCTTCTGGGTGGTATTATGTTATTTTAATTACCTTTAATGTATTTAATCTACTTTTATTTCTCAAAGTTTCTTTTTATTAACTTAAGACTTTTAACAAAAATATAAACAAACAGTAAAGTTTATGTAAGTTCTACTTTAGCAGCAGAAAGAAAGAAACACTGAAAGGATTAAACTAAAATGTTTCTTGGTTCTTATCTTCTAATTTTATGAATTTCAACATTTCATCTTCACTGCTTCAGCTAACCAGCTTAATCTTATCTGTGAAACTCTACAGCATCAAATAAGAGCTCTCTACGTCTCATATAACCCTAAAGCCTATTCCGATTGGACTGTGAGTTTCTTTTCTGAACATCAGAACAAACCCTTGAACGGCAAAGCTTTCGTTCAGCCAAGACACTGGACCCAGCTTTCAACTTTCAGCTGTCATCAATGTTTGAGTTGGATCGCAAAGGTTTTCAAAGAAGGACTTTTGAAGACCTTCAACTTGCTGAGCACCCTTCAGGGACTTTCATCTAGTGCATCAACCGGGTCTTAATCCAATGTGAAAAGTCTCTGATTAACCCAAAACCCAGTAGCAGAAAACATTTTTTTAGAAGTAGTCGCAGAAATAGTTCCAGCCGAGAGACAGGTTCAGGGTTCATTTTTCTCTCTGCCAACTTTTAACTCAAATTTACCGTCATTAAATATCAGATTTATAATATTTGGAAACATGATCCTTCTCATGACATCTGACAGTCAAGGAGACTCTTAATAAATTTAGTTCTTTAATTATAAAAAGATCTCCTGTTCCACTCAAACATTGTCAAAAGGAACAGTGTGTAGCTTGGAAATGCAGTCATTCTGTTTTAATTTCTTCAGCATAATTGACATGGATGAGAATAGAGACTTTATCCACTATTAAACATCAAAGATTAAATCAAAATTTACTCTTTCATTATATACAGTATAAAATACATTTTATGATTAGTTCAATATGTAATTTAGCTCATACAGTAAAGAAAAGTAGATGATGCCCAACTAGCAGGCTTTTTTTCCTGAAAACTAAGCTGCCTTTTTTAGTCAGAGTCCATTTATTTTAGTAATGTTCAAGGGAAATGTCATCCTCTGCCGGACTAAAGGGAGGAGGAACCACCAAGCTTGTTATCTGCACACAGTTGAGAAGCCAAGCAGGTAACCGGCACCTTGTGAAGGAACAGTTGGCGCTGAATAACATATTCTGTTTCTGGAAGAATGCATGCCATCACCCAGATGATGTACTACTCATACAAACAACTCATTTCTACATCAAAACACAGCATGTTTCACAGTAAAAGGTTTGGGTTGCTGAACTGTTCAGTTCAGATCAGTCACCACATTCAAGCCAATGTTCTAAAATCAGACTGAAAAAGTGTAGTTTTGCATTTTCCTTTTAAAAACTACAGCATTTTGCTATAGCAGCTTTTTGATTAGAAAAAAAAACCCTGTCAGCAAATATGAATGCCACCATTTTTTCCCCCAAAGAAAGGAGAGTCTTTTTTAAGCATTTACCTTTGCTGCTGTCTGCACCAGGCTGACTTTTCAAGTTTTACAGTCTCTTAACTTTTTTTTTTTTTTTTTTTGGAAACGGTGCTTTTTGTTAGTTGGCAGTCGCTTCTTTTCAACACATCTCATTAATCAAGCCTGTGGTTAAATTTAAGTAGCTTTTGGGAAAGCAAAAACTGTAGAATAATGACAAATGAAGTGCATCAATGAGAGAAGCTTTAGTAAACATAAACAATTTAGTTTATCAAGTCGTTTCAGTAGCGCGAGCCTGATGATAACAAAGAATGAACTCATTACCAAAACTACTAAAATCAGTAAAACGTGTGATACATTATAGTCACTATATCGATGCCTGGTTACTGAATTAAGCTACAGCAACAAAAGCAAAATATCAGTATTTTTTTCTTCAAACATATCAGCTAAAAAATCGACTTTTAGTCATTTCTGCATGTTTTATTTGTAGTATCTCAACAGTACCCTTTAATAAAAATTCACTTGGGTTACATTAATGCGTGACACGAATACATGTTTTGCGACCGTCATTAGTCCGCCCTCCATTTAAAACTCATAGGAAACCCTGAAGTCTGTTATATAACCTTTGTTACACAGAGGCTGTTTACTTAAGCTCGGTGTCTTCTCCAGAAGCTGCAGGAAGCAACACAAGCAAACAAAGATGAAACAAAAACTGTGCATAATCCTACATTTTAATGTAGGGCAGCTCCCAAATGGTTTCCGTATCGGATTCTATTGATTCTGACTAAAACATAAAATAATGAGGCACAATAAAAGTGGTACCAGTAACTGGAATTTGAGAAAAGTATTGAGCCAATGCCTACATTTGAAAATAGAGGCCATAAATATCTTGCAATCATACTAAAGCTGAGTCACCAGCAGTCACAATCTGCACTTTACACTCAGGAATCCATGACAAACGATGATTTGTACGTTCTGGAAACGGAGGGGTAACAGCGTTCCGTACGGACCATCATCACCGGCGGTTTTTCCAGGCAGCGGCCCACCAGTGAGAACACACCAGGTATCAAACCAGTAAACGATTTTGATTAGAAAGGCCTCAGAGGAGCTCAGAGCAGTGATTGCATTGTAAACATGGCGGAAAGGATGCGAGTGCAATCAGCGGAGGATTTGAACTGGACGTAGCCAACTCTGCTTCTCTCCCTGCGAAAACGGCACAAAGCCGTTTGAGTTTCAGACTGAGATCGGAGGTCGCCGGAGTCTGGTTTTCAAGAAGGTTTTACTTATGAAAATACATATAATTGCCTGTTTATTGAGGGGAACCAGAGACTTTGGGATAAATTCTCCCACACTGGTTAGTATCAGTACTTGACAGAAAGGAACTTTGAAGTGATGCCACAGCTAATCAGCTCTATTTGCAACCCGTTTTACAACCATTCAGCTCATTTTAATGTCCCTTTGCTAAAATGGTTCTCTCATTCTAATTTCCTTTCACTGGGATATGAAGTGAATTATTGGCTTTCTCATCTGCTGGATTTGAGTCTTTCAGGCTCTCTGCAGGCTCTGCTAAACGCAAAACAAAAATATTCCTTTGGGTGAAATTCTGGAAAAAATGATTGCTGTAATTTAAAATGGAAGATTATTAGTTATTAAACCATGTTTCAAAGCTTAGAAGTTTCTAATTTTGGATTATGGTGCCATATTTGATTTGATTCAAACTAAATTGGCAATTGTAAAAAAAAAGAAAATCAATTAAATTGTAATTGTAAAATAAATCAGCAGGAGAAAAAAAAACTTTTCCAATACTTTTCAAATAACCTCTTAAGGGTAAAGAGATTACTCTCTCATTTGCTCTTTTCTACCACAAGAGGCAGTAAAATGAACAACTGCTGAGTGACTTTGACATTTTGATATACAATCTCAGAAATGTTTTGGGAGATGCAGAAATGGTAAATTCAGGATGTGGAAGGAGCACTTTGAGGATCTCCTTAATTCACTGACAATGTTGGGCCAGGATGAGGTCGAGTCTGAGAGGAACCATCGAAGACATAGCTACAGTAAATACAAAGATCACTAGTGGCTGAGTGCCATGGTTGGACTAAGTGTAGCTCATGGTGCTGAAGGTTCTGGATGTTGTTGGGTTGTCCAGACATTCCAGGTCACAGGGGCTGTGGAGTGGAGGACCAGGGCGTTGGTCATCATTTTTATTGAGGGGAACCAGAGATCGTGCTCCAACTTTATAGTTGTCCCTCTTCCTAGTCCCTCTGGAGGTGTTCACTCTAGTGTGGTTGGAAAGAAAACTGTCCGATCGTCAAACCTCAGTGGGCCAAATCATTCCTCTGACGAAGTTCCTGAGGGAGCTACGAAGGTTTGGTCGTCCGTTCTAATTGCATTCTGTGGATTATTGCATGTCCAATCCACCTGTTCCTCTATATTCTTGGAAAAAAGGTGGTTGGACTCTGTCAGAGCTGTCCTTCACCACAAATCCCTTTTTTTGGAGTTCATGTTTACAATCTCTGAGATAAGGATTATGTCCAGAAGAGAAGGATCCCAGATGCAAGTGGCTAAATTGAGATTCCATGTCAGGTTGGCTGGACTGAACTTTAGAGGCATGATTTGAAGCTCTGGCACCCAGGAATAACTCAAAGTAACACCTTTACTCCTTCACATCTAAAGAAGTTAGTCAAGGCACCTCCCCTTGGATATTTTTCAGGTGTATTCCAATGACGGGATCCTATGATAGATCCAAAACTTCCTGGAGAAAGAGTGTATCCCTTCTGGCCAAGGGATTCCCCATGAGTAGTCGAGAGTGGGAGACGAATGTCCTCGTTTTCCTCTTGCCCCCAACAACCAATTGGATAAGCAGAAGACAGCAAATGGATATATATGTTGCATACAGTCAAGAGAAAGTGGCTCACTCCTGCCCCTTGTGGCAGACATATATATATGACAACAATAAAAGAGAGTTGCAGTTAGTGGATTTTTTTTCTCTTTCAGAAACAAAAGAACATTAAGAATTCAAGATTTGGTTGGAGACAGAGATTCCATTGGTCAGACCAACTATCACAATAATACTTTTTTTGCTTTGTTTACACTAAGGATATCAAAACTGGTTTCAACTGCTGAAACGGTTTTAAGGAGGTGATAAAATGCATCATTTATTTTCTTTTTACTTGCTTTTCAGGGCTTCCATAAGATTTAGTTTGATGGCTTGAAGGTAAATGATTCAAATGAGGCTTTACAGACATGTCCACACTTGTCTTATGGTCATCAAAGAAGTGTAAGGGTCCGGCTCACTGTAGAGAAGCTAAGCTTAAAGGGAGGTGGTGGTGCAGGTGGGTGGGTGCTCCACCTTCCAGCAACATCAGCATCCAACTTTTCCCAAGCCGCTCTTACCACCAATGTCCGGCCGCAGGGTCTTGTCGTACTCCCTCAGCAGGTTGTTGAGGATGAGCGTGGCGTCCTCCTGGTGCGACCTGGGCACCAGCATCTGGTTGACGGTGGTGTCGTGGAGATCCTCCTCGTCGTCGCCATATTCCAGTAAATCAGAGCTGAAATGGGGGTGAGGAAAAATGAATAACATATATTAACGACATAATAAAGGAGGTTGTTTTTGGAATGAAAACTTTTGTCGCAGTCGAAAAAGACACGACAAACAGTGATGCGCATAATTGAGTAAAACCAGGTGAAAAGGTTTTTCAGACCTATTTTTTTCTTGTTTGTTATTTGGGGGAAGCCCTGAGACAGAAGCAACAAAATGCGCAATTGGCCTCATTTAGCCAACTTTCCCCGCAGCTGTTGATCAGTGAGAAGCAGGAAGGACTCACCGAGCGTCCTGGGTGAGCAGAAGAAGTGTGAACAGGGTGACCGCGAGCCTGACTGTCATTTTCCCACGGGCGGAAGGCGGCTCTGCTTGCGGGAACTGCTGGACGGGGACCCCGGCGCGCGCCGCCGCTGCTGCTGCTGCTGCTGCCTCTGCTGCTGCCGCGTGCAGGAGGTGTGTGCCCATCAATCCCGCATCCGAACTCCCTCATTCGCCCACGCAGTCTGTGCCCCCGCGCTCTGTCCTCCTCGCTCCTCGCAGGAGGGCTTCCTTCGGGAAGACACCCGACGATCAATCAGGACGGGTGATGAGTCCAGCGGGAGGAGGTGGAAATGAGAGGAGGAAGGGGCCAACTCCCTCCTCCCTGCCCGCTGTAGCGCCTGTGGGGGCCAACACACCGGTTGGAGGGGTGACGCTGTCTGCCGCCGGAGGACCTTTATCTGCGAATGCGTGACTCATATACTCCGCGCGCACTACCTGGGTGTCACTATCCGGATGAAAACTGGAGGAGACGTCATGAGCGTGATTAATGGACCCCCTCCTGCGCGCGTAAACACCCCTGAGAATTTGCAAAATAATTCCTCATCCCGAAAAAAACGAGAAAATAAAATAATAATAATTATAATAAATAAAACAGGACATTTGCAGTTTCGCCAAAGTTGTGGCGTTTGTTTGCACTGATGTTTGCAGTTTTCTTGAAGTTGGACTTTATGAAGTCATGTCTGAACGAGCGCAACACTTCAGCGCGAGTGGAGAGACTTTGTTGCCCTCTGGTGGGAAAAAGATGAATGACAACAAGCAGTAATTCATTTTTTCCCCCAATTTTGCTGGAGTTTTTCTAATCTGCAGGATGATTAATGATTACATCATTGAGGTTCTTGAACAATAAAGTACACTGCATATGAAAAACAACATTTTTATAGATAAATATTTTATTAAATAATTAGTCTAAAGTTACAGAATTGAATTATGAAGTAATTTGATCACTTTTGGCCTAAGATAACAGTTTTTCCCTTTGAATATATCTTTTATGTCACAAACACCAATTTAAAAATATGTGACTTCTAGAAGCAACTGGTTGCTGTGGCTTTTATTTATCAGTATCCAGGTGCTGAATTTACAAACGATGTGAGTTTTTTCTTCTTTGTTACAATAATGTGTGACTTTGTTGTGGTTTCTCACAGTAAATCCCAATAACATGTTTCTGCAAAGCATTGTAATTGGATATATTGACATCAATTTCACCTCAAATCAACGTCTAGATAATCTTAAAACTCAAATCTGTGTGGCTTCTTGACAAGATAACATTTCAGTAATTTTGAATGAAATTAAGATTCATCCCCATGATGAAACTGCATAAGCTAATCATGACAAAATCGAATTTTGCCGACAAAAAGCGCATCGTGTTCTAGTAAATTCAATATAGTTTTTATTCTTCAACAAATGCAGCCTTGCAGCCAATCAGAGCTTCAGAAAATTCCACTCAGAGTGACAGGAGAAAACAAACTAAATCAATCCGCTCTGGAGACAGTGAAGGAAGATCCACAGTATGAAACAAGCCGCATACATCAGCAGAGAATCAGATCAATACCACTAACAAGTGTTAATGTCCGATTTGCTTACCATATTAGCAGCTTTAATCAGGGTTTAATGAAGCCACAATTGAGCTCCAGCAGTGCTTTAATACATGGAGTTTTTTCATGCAGTATCTTTATTGATCCCCTTTCGTATAAGACAAATACAGAAGATAAAACAAACAAAAAATGGCAGAGAATTAGCTACCAGACCTTTTTCATAATATATTTTGACTCATTATATTTTGCAAATTTGCAAAATATAATGCAAATACAATTTTTACAACTGCCTCAGAGTTTCTTTTTTTTATTTTTTTGCATGCAGAAGAATGTCTGTTTGTAGTAGAGACAACTGTTGCAGTCATAAATGAGAGCTTCAAAACTTCAGTCTGCCTCACTACCCATGAGCTCGCGTTGGATGAAGTGCACATAATCAATCCAGTGTTTGCCCCAGAACACGCACAAATCTGTCCAGACTGCAGACTGAGAAAAACAAGCAGTTGTCATCAGGATTGGGTGCTGCTCAAGGCTTAAACCGGAGAAAAGTGCTTTGCTGTAAGGGGCCCCCCTGACCGAATGAAAGCAACTTAAGCGGAACTAAATCCCTTTTCTAGCAGATGTATGGCAGATGAGTCTGTGACAGAGGCTGATGGAAGATGTGAGGGGCAGACGGGTGCTTCTTGGCTAACAATAGTGAGGAGGAAGGTTGAATGGATGGATTGGTCGATGGGTGCTCCTCTGTAGTGGGAATAAATGCTGCTTTTGAGTCGGAAAAATAAGCACGGGGACACAAGGGTTATCATCAGATTTCATAAAATGACCTGAAGATGCTTATTGCAGCTCGACAAATCAACCCAACAAACAATCTTAAAGACTCGCTACTGTGTGAAGAGATGCACAGAGACAGAGGTTGTTCCCTGGGAGCTTGTCTGCGCTGCTAATCTTCTCTCGGCTGCCATGTCGACCCAGACCGGACAGTCAGATGGACGTGTCAACCTTCAGCCGCATTTCATTCCACTTCCTTTCACCCTAACAAGCACAGAGACTTCAGCACCGCTGACAAGATAGCAACACTTTGAGTATCCAGAAGCGGCGGCTCACTAGAAGCATCAGTCCTGCCACATGTCACGTCACTTTAAGCACTTTGAACAAGCAGGTCTGATGTTGTTTACTTTAGGTTCGTGAAACAAATATGATGCTGTAGGAGCTGATTAGCAAACTGTAAAAAAGAAACCACACATTCTTCCAGGAACTAAGTTTTTATCTGTCACAATATCATAAAATTGTCTTTATTAAATGTAAATTGGGTACGGTTGTGGTGAGAAGATGGAAATTTGTAGGAAGGAAACTGGTTATGATGTTTCCAGGCAAGAATTTCTGTTCAGGAAATGGAATGAGAGATGGTCATCAGATGAGTTTATTAGTTGTTCTTAAAGACGTGATGCAGGTGAAATTGGGGCCCACCTGGGTCATCAGTGTTGTACATTTGGAGCTGTTTTCCTAGAACCAACTTGAGACCCAGTTAAAGCCTTTTCAGACTGGCATAGAATATTATCTGCCCTGAAATTCACCAAGAAAATGGCCAATAAAGTTCAGTCTTCGATATGATGCGGTTCAAGAAGTGTAGACTGAGAGGCATCATGTTGGCTGCAAACGCTGGTCGTTTTGTTCCTGAGTGTCCCGACACAGAACCTGGTCCTCGGCCTTCATCCCAAACCTCTCCTCACACAAGCCTCAGTTAGAGGAGAAAATACACAAAAAGCTCAAAAGTCTGTTTCGTTTCACAAACATCAAGAACATAGTGAAGTAAAAGCACACAAAACTTGAGGGAAAAGATACAAGAGCATACGCCTAATAAACTCAGTCAGCATTGGACTTTTTTTTTTCTTGTGAATGTCATAGATTCATCTATAAAATAAAACTTTGTCAAAAGTTGCCACAAATAACCTCTAAAGACAGATTTCATCCCCTAGTGACTGATCTGACAAGCCTCCAAGATAAATAGCGAGTAAGGCTTGGTTGACCCACTTCTGCAGAACTTTTCTGTTCATTATCATTATTAGTTATTACATTTTATGTACATTCCTTAACAATGACATGTTGGGAAAAATAAAGGGCATAGAAAATTAAATGTAATGTCTGTTTCTTTAGCAGACTGAGTGGAAAAATAATCAAACATAAAACACTAAGCTGTTAGCTTTTACTCTTTTATGTCAGAGGATAACTTTTAAAATAGAAAATAGTGGATATTTTGAAAGTCAGGCACAATGAACCTCTTTATAGAACAGACTTAATCAAACTGTAATCAGCTGTGAGCCTCCTAAAGCACTAGCTTTTTTTACTATATTTTATTTAACCTATTGAATAAAAATGGTCAATTTTATTATGTTGCTAGAAAAGGAAGAGCAAACACAGAAAACGCAATAATTTTTGAGAAGTTTTCTTTCGGCAGACTGAGCTCTGTGACAGAAAAAAACAACGGAGGAACATAGCTGTGGGGTTATCTTTTGCTCTCACGTGTTAAAGAATTTATTAAAGTATAAGAAATAAATAAAAAAAATTGGTTTGTAGATCGTCAGGCACAGACTTTAAAAACTGAATTTATCTACAATTTAGCAGCAGAGCTGAGAAGCTTGATATCTGGTTGGTTAGTAAATGTTCACATTGGGTTCATTACTCCACTGAAACCAAACAAGATGTGACTGCAAAACATTTTAACATTGTTTTTTTTAGAAAACATAAGTCTTATCGCAGAAAGAAAACTGAAAATAGGGTGATTACTCCACTTTGGGGGTTAGATGTGTAAAAATAAATTAAGAGGTCACATTTATAAAGCTTGACCTAAAAACTCTTGGAATGCAACACTGACATTTAAAAGTTGTTTTGTCCTCTTACGATTCTCTCCTCTTGAAACATTTGACACTGAGCATGACCAGTTTATCAGGGCATATTCAAGTTTACAAATCTGGAGTTAATTAAAAGTCAAAGTCAAATTTGTCTTACTTGATAATCTACTTGTACAACATGAAGAGTCAGCTGTTATTTTTAGCTGCAGTCAAACGGAAAGTAAAACCTCCTGGAGCTTTTAGCGCCACAGTGTTTTGCTCAAGGATGCTTAAAAGGCTTCTTGAATCCAGGTCACTTCACAGAATCACAGTCTTGGAACGCTCCACATCACTCTGCTGATCTGTATGTAACACGCTGCTTTTCAGGTAACCAGCTTCTCAGCTGTGTATATTAGTTTCACGACTGAGTTAGCAAGGCTTAAAATTTAATTTAAATCACATATGCCCAGTCCCAGAACTGTGCTAACCCGTCACTCACGGCTGTATTTTCCCCTTTTAGGCAAAAGATATGTGAATATTCTTGTTCTATATCTTGCTTTACTAAAATTTTATGTAAATATTGGTGACTTGTATGTAACTCTCTGGTTTTCTAATTTGTTTTCTCACTTCTAGGCTTGTTTTTAAAAGGTTTTGAAGCATTACAATGGATCATAACATCACATGGATGGCAAAAAGAAATGCTAAATTAATAAACTCACAGCATTGCTTACTCTTCAAATTAACTTTCCAATGTAAACTAAGTTAGTCTCTGCATTTTAAGCGATGACATATACATGGTCGGTTTTTAAGACAAAGGAGTCCACAGTTTCCAGTTAAAGAGAAGGTCATGCAAACTGCAGCAGGATAGACGAGAAGGAAGCAAAGCTGCCACTCTCCTGTTTCTTTCAAGCAGTTTCTTCATTACCAAGGAGTTTTTTAGGCCTCAAGAAAAGGAAACGAAACGTCTCGCAGCCTCGCGTCCATTCAGACCGTCTGAATTAGATAGATGTTTCTTCGTTCTTCAAGCGATGCTTTATCGATTTTCTTTTTCTAAAGCGGAGATTGATTGGGATCAAACCCTTTCTTCTTTTGCACAAATTCAGTTTCGGAAAGAATAAACCCCGCACAAAAACAAACAAACAAAAAAAAGCAATTATGTGGAAGCGACAACTCCTTTCACCATCGGTTCTCTGTTCAGGTATGTGGCCCAGTAGACGAGGTTGAAGGTTCCGAAGAGGACAGGGAACACTATTCGCGACATCTTGTCGATCTTGCTGACGCTGTTGTATGTCTTTTTGGGGTCCACCAGTTTGCTCTCTGAGCCCCGCAGCTGCACCGACGTCGTATTGGAGATGGTGGAGATGGACACGTCCTTGGTAAGGTTAGGGGTGTAGTTGACGCCTGCCGAGCAAACGTTGTTGGCCTTTTTTGAGAGCACCATTGGGTCTCGTTTCTATAGTGGAACACATTACAATGATTAGCTTCCACACTTTTCCATAGCATTTCTGTTTCTCGTCTGGTAGATCCGGTAGATGTTACCTTAGGGTGCTGTGCTTCCAGAGCTTTCTTGCCATCCCAGGCCCAGCTCCTTTTGGTGAAGTAGTTCACTGTGGCAAACTCGATAAGAGCTGAAAAGACGAAAGCATAGCAGACAGCAATGAACCAGTCCATGGCTGTTGCGTAGGCTACTTTGGGAAGAGAGTTTCTAGCGCTGATGCTGAGTGTGGTCATAGTCAGCACCGTAGTCACCCCTGGAAGCAAACAAAAATGTGTTATGTCTAAATGCATCACTCAAAGGCTGGGTGGAAAAAGTGTGGAGGAAATGTTTCACTCACCAAACACAGTCCGCGCGGGGACGGACTCTCTGTTGAGCCAAAACGACACTTGGGACAGGATTACAGTCATGAAACATGGCATGTACGTCTGGATGACAAAATATCCGATCTTCCTCTTCAGGTAGAAGTGTGCCATCATCACAGTGTATTGTCCTGAGTAGAGAAATAAGAGATAGAGAGAATTGTCTTATTGTTTCTTTATAAACTGATGGTAAAATAAGCAATTTTTGGCAAAATATTGTTAATCTTTGGAGAAATGAAGAATTAAATTGATGTTCCTTAATACACAAAAGTAGAATGTAAATTCCCTAAGCTATGACATTATCTCACCATGTGGGGGCGCTAAACAAAAGGATGACTTTTGAAGAAACTTTTCCAAATCAGCCACAAACCGAGCAAATCTCTTGTCCGAATTTGCCTTTTTAAGTGTTCAGGCACTTTTCTTGTAAGATTTATTTATTTATGTGCTTTGACTAGTTTGTTGCTAAACTTTAATTTTCTGAAACCCCAGTTTAAGATGCACCAATGTCATCTGAAGAGAAGTAACCCCAGGTCAGCTACTGTCTTTTTTGCATTTGTACATCACAAATTTATTTGAGATAAGAAATTATGTCATGTTTCACTGTCAAAACCCTCTCTTTCTGAAAACTGTTTTTTTCTCCTCAATTTTGTATGTACATAATAAAGAGGGGCTGATATGTGCAGAGTAGTGGAAAAAAAAATAATGAAGCAGGACTAGAGAGAAGCTCTAATATTCAACTGAGCATAATGGTGAAATTAAACACACTTTGGATTCACTATTAAAGTGAATAAATGAGCACAAGTGGCGTTAATTACTATGGGAACAGATTGTTATGCAGTTAATGTTGGATCTTTGACAGCGGGTGAGGGCAGATGGAAGTAAGTTGGGCGAGAAAGGAAGTGTAGGGGAAGAGAAAGAGAGGGACACAATATTGAATTTGAGGCTTTAAAGAAAGAAAAATCCTCTCACCATCAGCTGTTTATGGCTGCAGGCGCTGGGTAGCTATGAAAAATCCAGTCCATCTCTTTTTCTCCCACACACACACACTGTACACAGAGTAATAGACGAGGCTTTCTCTGGGGCAAAATCCGATTTTTGAACCTCTCTAATCCCTGGTTACAATCTGCATCCTGCCATCAGTGAGAGGAATAGAGGGAGTGAGACGGAAGGAGGGGGAGGGGGGTTTAGGTTTGCTGTCCTGGGATCCTCGATGAAGCCCCGCCCAATCTGAGCCCTGCCAATCACGGCGGTGACACACACATACACACGAAGCATGATTTCCAACTGTTGACACACACCTCAGCACAGACTTTAAGCTGCGGAAGAGGAAGGACGATTGCTGCTGCTAATCATTGCTGGGATGGAGGGGGGCTAGCTTTGTGGGTCTTCCCTGTCTTTTCCTTTTCATCCTGCCGATTTCCCCCCACCCCCCTGTTTTAATTTGGCAGCTTTTTGTGGATTAATGATTCTTGACGGGATTGGTTGCCATGCGAGGGAAAAAGGAAGCATTTGTTGCAGCTGTCAAATGACGGAGGTCTGCTGCTTTTTGTCCGTCACTTCCATCTCTTAGCAACATTGGTCTTTGCAATGCCTCAGTCGGGACAACCCGAGCATCCCTACCCGGGCCTTCCAACGCCTTCATGACCCCTGGCTGGCTCTCTTGCAACCCCCCCATCAACCTCTGCTGCTGTTGTGAAGATTCTGGGCACCTTCACCATTGATGCATGGATCTGTACTGGGAAGGGTTGACAAGGAACATGTTCCACTGCTGGATGTTACTCCTTCTCTCCCAAGGATTTGTATTCAACAACGTCCAAGGGGAATTTCCTTTCATGTTGGGGAACAACGCAGCAATGCTGGTCAACTTGTGAGTTTCTTGGTTGCACCTCAAATATCACTTGAGCTGAATGGTTTACAAAGGGTTTATCGAGAGAGGAACAAACAGCAGCTTTACCGTAGTGTCAGGCAGTTATTTAGGGAACGATATCGCTATCTGAGACAGAACGCACTGTGTCCTTAGAGATGTCAACTATCTAAAGACAAACTCATGGACTAATCTCCTCTTTCATGCTCTCAAATAGGTGTATAGTCTAAAATTAGATGTGCTACTTAAAGTCTAACACCGTCACATCCATCCAAAGCACTAAGCTACAAACTTGAAAGAGGATCCTTTCTTTGCAAACTCAAGCTAAAGTTTAAAAAGACGATTTGAAGGCAAATTAAATGTCTTATTTTTCTGAAAACTTCTCAAATATAGTGACAGTCTGGTCCAATGAAACAGTTATTAGGCCACCAAGGAAGTTTTTTGTGCTATGAAGTTGTCAGAGGTGAACGAGTGATTTGGTGTTTTTATCTGAACTAAATGAAACAGCGGGGCTCCTTTAAGTCGAGCAGAGCAGCAACAGTAAACCTCTGTCGACAGAACGCCTTTTTGGCAAATTTACTGAACTCCATTGCACCTTTTGTGGCAGTATTGATTTCCTTTTGCTGTACAATGTGTTCCTCATTGCTTGTTGCCATCATGAACAAAGGAAATCAAGTAGATTACTTTGAGATGTGTTGCCTTGCTTTGCTCAAGAGATACCACAAGAAAGTCGGTGGAAATTTCAACTTTACCACCGCTCTTTGTGTTCGCTGTGAACACCTACTACTTTCTCAAACAAGTCAAAATGCACAGGTTAGGTCTGGCAGATTTAAAATGTCACATTTGACTGTGAAAGTTACTTATAAACTCTGACCAGAACGACTTAACCTACTGGACTGAATATGACCCTACAGTTCAAACCCACCGGCAATATCCACCACTGATTTGGACGACATCCAGACAGAAGCTTTGGGCTGCCTTTAGTCCCTATAAGTATCTATTTTTCTGATAATCTTTTGCAGATGGAACATATGGTTGTCGATCATTATATTATCAACAACTTCTGGCATAAGTAAAAAAAAAAAGCAAAAAAAACAACAAATTTGATTATTTTACCGTCAATTTTGCATTTATCCACTTGTAAAAGGACCTTAATAATTGATAAAGACTTCATTGTAAGTTTATACGATGCTAAATAATCTTAGGATAAAAGTCAACATATTCGTACAACAATATAATGGTTGTAAAAAATACAATTTATAGCTGTGGAGAAAGTTTACTCACCGCTAAAGAAAAGAAAATGATTAAAAAAAAAAAAAACAACCTGAGCATGCTGCCTATATTTGGATAAACTTCTAGTCAGAAATTGAAGCTTTTCAGTGTTTAAATCTAGATGCATGCTTTCAAATAGTTCAAGTTTGACCCATTTGATATGATGCTATATTTATTGCAATTAAAGCCATCTAATTGGGCAAAATATGGTTAGTGTTTAAAGTTTTGAGAATTCTGCTAAGAATGTGTCCCTTTATTTATTGTGATGATGAAGGAAATCAAACTGAAACACTACTGAGTTCCTCCAGGTCAGCAGGAAGCACCAAATTAATTCAAATTAATTCTCCAATAAGTCACAGTTGAACCAGAAATTTAATTTACTTTCTCTCAAGATACTTCTTGACACCTTGAGAGACCAAGGATTAAATACCTTACTTTTAAATTCATTCTTTATCTTTTTGTCCACCAATAATATCTTCAAAATAGTTCACAGTGATTCTGCCGACTGGCAGATTTACAAGAAGTGGTGATACGCATAAAAAGGTGTAAAGATGCAGTGCGTAAGTCCAGCTCATACATTTATTTTTGAATAGAAACAACTAAGAAGATGACATCACATCCATTCAGAAAAATGTATATAAGAAACAAACAAACAAAAAAAAACATTTTTTCTGGTTCTTGCAAAGAAATAGAAATGAACTAATGCTAATGAAGTGTGAAAAGATTGAGGGCAGTAAACAAATTTATTCTAGTAACCTTTACCAAACAAGCCAAAAACTTATGTTGTAAGAAAAACAGCAAAAAACACTCATGCAGGGGAAATCCAGATTTTCACTAAACACTCCACTAGAAACCAAAGGGAAGTGCACAGTTCCGCTTTACATAAGAGTATTAAACAGATGTGTTTCAGCCTCCCTCTCCAGCTCCAACACACTAACATTTCTTGCTCCGTCTTTGTGACAACTTGTGATCAGATACTGTTTTCCTCTGTGAAAAACATCTCCACTCATGATTAGGTAAAAGCTAGCCTTACGCCTTTCCACGATGCTAGCTGAAAACCGAAACCGCCCAGCGAAATACCCAGGTTCATAACCGCTTTTGTATGTTTCTATCTATCGCTGTGAGGGCATCTGGTTTTCAGAGAGATAAATTTATTCACGCAGATCCACTCAGTGACAGCCACCCAACCAATCTCTCACTGATTTGTGATGTCATCTTCTTATGCAAAGCCTGATGGCTGGTTGGAGGGATGTTAGGGGAGGATTAACCCTTGGACTCAGGTCTCTCCAGCTCAGTGTCTGTTCATGTGGCTATGTGTGCACGCATCAGCTTGTGGGGATAAGTGTTGTATGACAGGCCTGTCCGGCAGCTGGTTGTGTGACGGATATGCTACTCTCCTCCACTGGTATCCACTCACTGAGTCTTGGGGATGTTTGTCTGCACTCATCATTTACTCTGAACAGCCATGAGTAAAACTTTTTAAGCCAGGCTGCACTGTCAAAAAGTAATTGCATAAACTCCAGATCAAGAAATACCTGAGGTAAAACATTATATTGTATTTTGTAACACAGTATAACTGCAGAAGAGTTGCATTGTGTGTAATCTTACTCTGTTTTTATTTGTTTCATCTCATCTTATTGAGTCACACCATTTTTTTCTGTATCACGTCATCAAAGTTAAGTCATTAATATCTCATTAAACCACAATTCTTATGTGTTTAAACAGCCTTGCCCACCTCTGCTGGTGCGTATGTCCTCTGTGTCAGCTGTTTGTCCAATGAGATGGTACTGGTTGAGTCTGGAACCATCTTCTGCCACAACAACAGACTTAGCAGCTCCTTGAGTCCATGTGTAGACCACCTCCGATACTGGATAGGCATCTGAGAAACAGAAACAAACTTTAAAAATGTACCAACTTAGATGATTGAATATGCAAGAAAGATATTTTTCGAAAGCTTTGACTGAAAACAAATAGATGACTGCTTTCTGTTTATGGAAACTTGGGGATTTCTAGCGTCACTGTGTTGTTTGTTTGAGGGTGGATTTCAGTTGGCCAGTATTTTTGGGTCAGGAGGTCGTCTCCCTTGTTAGCAAAGACAAAACCATCAGATTTGACGTGTTGCACAACTGATCAAACATAACTAAAGATGTAAATTATTTCCTTTTTGCAGGACAATCTCAGATGTTAAATTAAGTAAATGTAGAGTTTAAGCTTGAGCTTTCTGACAATAAAAAGAGAGAAACAAAAATCACCTGGTGCCCAGTGGAAGACCAGTGATGCTGTCTGTTTCCCAAAGATTCTGTAATTCTCTTTCGAAGTGGATTGTGTTAGGACCTTTTTTGGACATTGTCGATTGCAAATCTAATGGCATGAAAGACTCACAGTGGTTCCTGTTACATCCAGTCAAACATGGTGGCAATAGTGAAACGGTATGGGGCTGTTTTGTTCATTCAAAACCTCAACAATTTGCCATAATTGAGAAAAACAATTTCTCAAAACAAAGTAAAAGTTTTAGAGTGGTCAGGATCTAAAACTGATTATGTCGTATAATCTAAAATCAGTAGGAATGTGTAAGGGGACTAGGAACAGCTTTTCAGACCACTGCCTCTCATGAGGGCAGATAGGATGCTTGACCCTTGAACTTCCAACCAGTGTGCTCACTTAGCAGCTTCATGTAGCTGTTGACTGCCTGGTTAAATTTAATGACTGACAGGCTAAAGACCACAACCTTAAGTGAAAGGGGAGATTGCAAAAAGGGATTATTGGTGAATTTCATTATGCAAACGAAGAGCTAAAGACTTTGGCAGGCCCAGCAGTCCACCTTTGCCAACTTCTCAACACTTAATGCGATGCTGTTCCTGCCTCACTGTGTGAGGCAAAAGGAGCTACAACTCGGCCAAACTCATCACCTCCTACAGTAAGTGAATGCACCCAGTTTAGCTCTTAGCAATGTCTAATAAGAAGGAGCACAGATCAAGATTGAATCAGAATTGTGAACAGAGCAAAAATTTTACCCTATAGTTTTATTATATCAAAAAAGGAAGTCTCTCCAACATCTTTGGTGGCCAACATTTCTGCTCAATGTGTCTAAACTTTCATCAGTAAACAACACTGAAGCCCACTGGTGTCTTGTTGAGCGTAAATGCTCCCTGACCCACGAGAGACGATGATGCCTTTGGCTTGTGGTGTGGTCAGGTACCCTTGCAGGTCATGTAGCACACAGAAAATGCTAATGAAAATGGTCTGATGTGACACATTTATCATTCGTGTCAGGAGGTGGGTGGCATTCATTAGTATGGGATGTGACCTAAGGATTTCCACTTCTATGCCTTCCTGCAACTCTTCCAGTCTCTCCAGAGAGTCTTTCTCCAATATATTATTTTATTGTCTAGTCATTCAGGTTTGCTGCTGTTTGAAAATTGTCCTGTTGATGATCCAGTTTCAGTAAAACTTGGGTTGTTGGACATATGAGATCAAATGTACCACTTAAATACTTTGGTTACAAATAATCCATCCTGGCTTGATTGGAAGTGACAATTACATCTCTAGGATAATTTCTGTTTTTGTTCTCCTTTGACATTGCAGTTAGCTCCAAACCAACTAGCAACCATCATGTAATGTTTCTGTAAGTCGTTGCAAGCTTCACTAATTGCTTCTCCAAAATCATTGCAATTCTCTCTTGTCATCAATTTATCACATACCAGTATGCTCCAAAACAGCAGTTTGCCAAAACTTGTGTTTTTATTGCAGTAGTGACACTTGTTGATGACCAATTGATCACTTGCATTTAATTAGCAGCTTCTACTTTCCCGCATACGTCTTGCAGAACAAGACGGAGTATATTTAGTATCCCAGGACTGCATTTTAGACACTGCATATATGCTGTGGAAATTGGATTCTTTGTTTATTCCTCCAACTTGTCTGTAGATCTGAGAAGTGAGCCCTTTCAGCCCAGCAGTTATGTTAAGCAAGTGGGGCAGAGTAGGAGGATTAGCAGCCTTTCACCTGAACTAACCTGCTTTAATTGGCAGATAAGACACCACTCTGTCACTGAGCAGCAGGCACATGCAGTTCCACAAGACAGATGTGTGAATGCAGACTAATTGTCACAGGAAGCGCTCCCCTCTCATTGTAAAAAATATAGTTCTGCCTTGCCATCTGCTCAATATTTCTATTAAGCTCATCCGCCTTTCACCTGCATTTCTGCACCCGAGGGTAATTAGGTTGATGTTGACCATGGGACAGCCCAGCACCTTCTCGCAGTATAATTGGATTGCGGTCCAAAGTGTAATCTAACATAGTGAGGGTGGGCGGAGCTCATGTCGTTGAGATCTGGAGATAAAGAGCCTCATCCTTTAAGCCTAACAGACTCTCGAGGTGTGGGCCAAACTGTCTTTAAATACCACCGAGTTCCTCTCACATTTCTATCAGAGGGAGGACACATAACTGAATGGCCCCCTTCGTCGCTAACTACGCTTGAAAAAACTCGAGGAAATGTATTCTCTTGATTTTATTGGCTTTTAGAAAGAAAGGAGCATCGAGTGTTGACAGAGAAAGTTTCCAGTGTAACTTTATTCCAGCACACCCTGGATAAAGTTTGGTTCATATTTCAGCCTATGGCATCGATTTCCCCTGAATTACTCAATAAACTTCTCTGTGAAGAGGGGGTAGGGTAAAAGTCTGGCCGTTACAACAGTGTTTGCACTTTTTTGTGCCAGTTTATGACTAATAATTCAGCACTGCAGAGACGGGCCTTAAAATCGACTCTAAATCTGACACTCAGGCGTTAATAAACATCAACCGTGGACAAAAGTTAAATGTAAATGGCTGCACCGGACAGCAGGATGCAATTACGTAACAGTGATTGATCTGGGATTACCAAGCACTGTAAGGGGATGGATATAGACGCCTGCAGCAGGGATTGTACTCACAGCTGCCAAACTTGAGTGGGCAGGCGTGGGCGTCCATGGGGAAGTCCTCCAGTTGCATGGGGCATTCTGCTGAGATCGTCAACCTGAGACCAAATACATAAACATTTATTTATTAGGATACGTCTTTCAATTGAGCTCAAAAGCAGACTCATCTATAAAGGATTTGATCAAACGTCATTTTTTGACCAGGATATGTTGCTTTTGTTAGAAATGTTAACATTTTGTTTCAACATTTGAATTCCAGCAGCAGTTTTCTCTGTGTAAAACTGGCAATACCTCCATCTAGTGGTCAAAAGGGTCCCTCCAGTTTTTTTCTCCCAAGTATAGATACATAATTAATTTGCTTGATCATTTGAAACTTTATATTTTTCAGTTTTTAACAGACAAAATCAGAGATCGTATGCAGTGCCACATCTCACTCTTTTTAATCCCCTAAAAAGCCTTTTTTATTAAAAACAAACAACAACAAAAAACAAACCCATTTCCTGTTGCATTCACATTGAGTCCGGATCTGATCACGGTGCTGGTGCAGGATTAACTCGATCGAGCGCTCGCACACCACCTTGTAATTCTTGCCCTTTTATTCCCCAGAAGCGATCTGTCCTAGATTGAATAAAATCCCCGAGAGTATTTCTGCTCTTTACATGATGATGAATAATACACCGTTTATAGTGATGTGGCTTCACTAAAGCTAAAGGGGTGGCTGACAGAGAATTAGCCACAACACAAAGAGTCATTATATTTAAGGTTTTGTTTTCTGCCCCCAGCATCAACATTAGTTACAGAGCATTTTTTGTTTCTCTGAACCTATTCTGACTCAAAATCCACTTGGGATGTGTTTTTACGCTCTAATGGCTCCTGCGTTGTATATTCTGCAGGAGGGTTTCTCATTAAATCAATAAGAGGAACAAAGTGGGGTAAGAAGCTACCTTTGGTTTGGGGCCCAGATTGTGTTACTGTGTCGACACAACTCGATGTTTCTGATTGGAGGAGAAAAAAAGGGGGTCTCTGGGATAAACTAATGAGAACATGGCTGCTGGCAGTTGTACAATGTTCTAATTATTCATGGAGCAATGTGCCATTATTGTGGTGAGAGCAGATGACTGAATTAGTGACTTTAAGTTAAGATACAACCCAGGCAAATAAAATCAATCTCGAACATCTAGTCAGTCATTTTATTTTAGTGTCTTGTTAAACTGCAAGAAATGTCCAATTACAAGTTCAAAAGTGAGAGCTAAATTATTTCTTCAAAGCTGAATTATTCCAGTTTTCTGTCATTAAAGGCTGAACAGAACAGATATTCTTTGCACCTACAGGAAAATTTGACGAGACAATCTGATCTCTTGCAAAAGTTGAGAAGTTGGCAACACAAAAAAGGCTAGAGCTTTTGCTTTGTTAGCCACCATCTGTCTTTTCACACGAACCGACCCATTTTTAAACCTGCAGACTACATGTGTGAGAACAGGCTAAAAGGAGAACTGCTAGAACTTCTCAAATGTTAGATAAAAAAAAAACAGCAGAAGTGTGAATGACTGTATCATTCACACTTTTTATTGTTCTGTCAAACGATAAAAACTCATAACTCGCTCATGTTGCTGGATATTTAGGAGTTGGACTAGCGAGTCAGTATGCTTAAAGCCTGCATTGTGGAGCAAGAAAGTGGCAACTTATAAATTTTCGAGGGGGACAACAAGAGAGATTTGCTCCATAAATGCTACTCCTGTGAGTAATGGCTTTTAGATGAGACAGCGACACAGTTGAATTCGAGACAGAGGACATGAGCTGTAAGCTGCAAGAAACATGTTCTTATTGTAATGAATAAACTTTTACTTATTCCTTGCTATTAGTTCTGATAAATGAATGGATATTTTACTCTAAACTATTTCTCTGTTGTTTTTCCTTCATTAAGGTCTTTCACATCAGTTTATTTAAACAAATGTGTCTTTATTTAGAGATTTTCTCAAGACCCATTATTTTTTCCAGAATTTCGGCAATGTCTAATAAATACCACTAGGTGCTGCTGTTTCCCTCCCTTGGTTTTTAAAAATTGCCTTCAGTTATATTGCTGATGGATTCAAAGCCTGTTTGTTTTATGTTTGTCCTCATGCGTGCTTTTTGTCGCCACATCTTGGACTTTTGCAACAAATCTGCTGCAAACCTAAAGAACATGCCTGTTTCTGTCATTCCTTGCGGTCTGTGGCCTACCTCATTGTGTAGAGCAGGGTTCCATCGTCCTTCAGTCTCAGCAGCTTGTTGGGTGTGGTCATGTTGTGAGCGATGGACTTCTTACCGTTGAGGAAGAAGGTATCAGGAGTCCAGATGTTGCTAGCCAGCAGGTTGTTTAAAGGGAGCATCTCCATGGGGCCTTTGAAGCAGAGACGCTCATCCTTCCAGCTTTGACGAAAGAACACGTCTATGGTGTATTCCTGGGATGGAAGGCCATGGTGGGAAAAAAAGAATTTAAAAAGGTGAAGACATTTTTAAAGCTAAATAAATTAATCTTGGCAGACTTTCAGAATTTGTCGCATCTATTTCACTTTCAGCGCTTCAGGAATACAGAGGCTGGACACTGTACTTCATAAATCTGTCATAGACTTTCACGCACGCTCGCTTCAAGCTCTGAGAAACAAACGACCACGATAGCCGACAGAATAATGACGCTGTTAGCAGGCTGACATATACGCTTTGAGCAACTGAAGGGACGTTCAAGCCTCCTGCCGTAATCTATAAATCAATCACTATACAGTGACAATGCCTTTTTCCAGTTCATTATGGCAAAAAAAAGGCAAGTTTGATGAGTGCGGTGTCAAAACTGCAAGGATGTGGGAGGAAAGTAATGGAAGAAATTCCTGAAAAAGGAGATTTAATGCTTTTCGCTGTCCAGGTGGAATGTTGTAGTTCGAAGGAGAAAGGATTAATAAAAATGGCGAATCATTAGGAACAAATTGGAATGGAGCAGCTGAACTGAAGTAGTTTCCAAAAGTTACAATCACATGATTTGCTAGTTTAATAGAGCAGATATTGTAAAGACCTGGGTACCGAAGATTTTTTTTTAACGGAATAACTACATGAGCAGAAATCCACCCTCAAGTGGCACCAACCCATTTACAGGAGTTTGTGGTGATGCTCTAGATAAGAGATTACATACATTTATTATGTTACATGGTTTTTGTGGCTAGCAAGAAACTTCTGACGTAATCCTGGCTACATATTTGATCGTTACTACTAACAAAACTGGTTGAGTTCATTTAAATTATCTGGATTCAGCTTTTGAGGATTCTGTCATCACCATCCTTCACAGATGGTTCATCTTTGGGTTTGACAACCCTCCTTATGTCTTCCCAAAGAGCCTTATGATTGTTTCCAAAGAGTTTTAGCCGGTCAATATTGGCAACAACAGATTTCAGTCAAGTTTGAAGGTTTTGTTTCCCTGGTTGGCACCCTATCAGACTTACCAATTTTCTGTCATCTTAAAGGGACAGTTCTTCTTGCTCATTTAGTGAAAGTAAATTGCTTAGCAAAGTTAAGATGATCTTGAGCCTTTAATACCGTTTGAAAAACATTTCGGTGAATTTATGTACAACTCTGGCCCTAGCAGACTTGTAAATGTGGAAGGGGTTTGCATCTGCAGTGTTTGCTGTGGAAGAACTCACCATCTCTGTGTCAGACACAGGACCGAAGCTGGTGACAAAGATGTTCGTCTTGATTTCCGTCACATTCTCTGGGAAATGGATAAAATGTCATGGAAGAGAAACATGTAATTAGACAAGTTAATGCAAGAAGCATGCATGTTAACAGGTTTGAAAATGAATGCTAATTGTGAGTTATTTAGAGACAAGGTGACCATTTCAAAATGCTAATGAGCAACAGAGAGAAAAGGCCAGGAAGCTTTTTGTTTTGTTGTGAATATGGATCTGGTCGTAGGCCATTAAATGCGGTCGGTTGCAGTTTTTCGAGCGGCTTGTTGAATGCCGAATGGACGAATGGAGGCCTGTGTTTTTCTGGCATGTATTTTTAGGCCCTCTTGTCAAGGGTAGCAACCGTTACCAGGCTCTGAGAGCTGCCTTTTGCCGTGACACATCGCGGTTACAAAAATAAATAAATAAAAGTAAAGAAGAAGGAAAAAAAATGTCCTGGTTTCCTTCCATTGCTGGACAACTTCTGTCTGCATGTGGCAACAAGGTGAAAGCTAACAGGGGATGGAAGAGGGCAACACAAAAAGCTCAGGGGAATTTAGGAGTAAAAGTGTAAAAAGCAGCAAGCTGTTAAGAGACAGAAGTTATAAAAAGCTCTAATTTCAGAAGTCCCTCAGAAAAAATAGGAAGATCTTCATTTCTGAATGACAGTTTGCTGGCTCTCAAGGTTATCTCCTGTTGCCCGGGTGAGGAGCATGAATAAAACACCTCAGAGATCTGCATCCTGGTTGTGGTGACGACAGCTAGATTGATGGAGACTGGCCACCCTATGTCAACTGGCGCTGCTTATACCCCAGAATCTGTTGCCCAAAAATAATTAGTCAGCCTGAATGGACACATTGGATGTGACTGAACCTCCGAGTCCCGGGCGGAGCCTGTTGTCGTAGCCGTCCAGGAGGCTGTCCAGGATCCTGGTGAAAACCGTGCTGTCCTCGTTGGCGTCCTCCTCTTTTTGAGCTTCCGACGACTGCTGACAAAAACTGGGAGGAAGTGGGGAGGTGAGAAAAAGGAAAGAAAGATGGAGGGGGGTGGGTGTGAGAAATGATCATGGCGTTGGTTAAACCTGCAGGACGTCAAACGTGACATGGTTATTGTGATTAATTAGCCAGGCGTATCGAGGCCAGACTTGTTGTGATTAATTATTGAACACAAGTGCAGCTTACAAGTACCAGTAGAGATAATTAGTGCTTAGATATGTGATTCAAATGCAAACAAACGAGCTCTCCTTATAAATAAAGGAAGAGGGAAGGCATTATGAGATGAAGTTGACCCTTTTTCGTTTGTTTATTTACAGCTTTTTGTCTGTTTTCTCCTTTTTTTAAAGGAGGAGACATAAAAAAAATTTATAAACATGCAAGTCTCAAATTAGAAAATTTTAATTTGTACTTTTTTTTCATTTTTAAGCCTTCAGGCAACACTCTAGCACTTCAGACAATCAGTCAGTGGGTAAAGGGCAACACATTCTGGACTCTATCACAATATATAGTGCAATTATCTATGAGAGCTTGTTTTTTCTTTTTTTGTCCCAGAACAAGTGAATAAGTAAAGTGTTTCATTTAGTGGCATCAGTTTACCTTTTGTGGCATCCGAGCAGGAGCAGGAGGGAAAGTACAAGCCAAGTCATGTTAAGAGCTGCAACACACAAAAGGCAAAGAGTGTGAATGTCTTTCGCTCTGTTTGATTCAAAAGACGGAAAGAAAATCTAACAATTTTTTGAAGATGAATCCCATTTAGGAGGTAAAACTCTTTGTTCCTCTGAATGCCAAGGCAGAGCAGCACTAAATCAAGCAGTGGGAAAATGTGCGCTCACTGAAGCTGCAGTCTGCAACTCCTTCAACAGCCAGGAGTGCTATGAAAACACAGCCGACAGATAAATCCTCTTATGAGAAAGAAAATAAGCAAACTGTTTTCTGCAGCATGTTCTATTCCAATGAATTCAGGGTGTTGCAAAACATGTGGGCAACCCCCCCTGCTTTCCCTCATCCTCTGTACCATCTATTCCCTTCTCCTCCATCGCCACATATTTGCATCCTCTATCTGAACACAAAAAGGAATTATGTCTGAGAATAAAGAGAAAAAGCATCAACCTGAATGCGGATCCATCTCTACCGAGCGCCTGGAGGCAGAGGGTCTATAGCCGGACTGTACCACCACCTATTCTTCTCCGTTGCTAGTCACTCGTCTCGCCTCCTCCTCCTCCTCTTTGGCTTCCTCACCATGGGCTGTTTCCGCACTCTCTCTTTCTGCTTTTCTCTCTGTCAATCAGCGGCTCCCCATCAGGAGGTGTCTCTCTGCTTCTCTCCTCCTTCAAGGTTTTACCGCATCGCCTCCAGAAGTGATACACCACCACCAGCAGCAGCAAAAGATGAAGAAGAAGGGGGCTGCCTCTTTTGGCTCGTTGGCCAGCCTCTGAGGAGACTGGATTCACTCCACGTTTTTTCCCTCCTTTATTCACTTTTTTTTTTTCGCACTGCCTGCTGTTAGTGTGGGAAAATACAATGCTGCAGATAATAATTTTCAAAATTAGTTTCTTTCCATCGTTGGTTTGGGAGGAACGTTTCCCTTGAACAGCAATATTGTTTCCCTTGCTGCCCCCCTTTAAATCACAGTAATACACAAAAATACAGACCTTCAATTATCCCCAGGAAAAGTTTCATTGACATAGAAATGATCATTCACCAACCTGACATGAAACTATGGAAGAAAGGTTAAAGGACAGAAGACATTTTATTCAATAATACAAATAGCCTGGAAGTTTATGTACATTGTCCACTGACTGAGATCTGCTGGTGTTTAAATGGAGATGGACTGGAACGTGGAGAAATGTTTGTCCGGTTGAACGAAGAAAACACATTCACTTTCAAAGTGAAAAGTGAGAGCAGGAAAAGTCAATACTGCTTAAAAACAAGTGTATTTAATTGGAAGAAACTGTGCCAACTGCTTCAACATATTAAATATAAGAACAGTAAAAGAGAAGCAAACAAAATACATTTAATAACCAAAACAAACAGAAAATATATTTAATTTAATCCCAATAATTGTCCTAAAAATCTAAAAATTAACCAACTGTATTTACTTCCGCTAATTGATGAGACGAGTTAAGCAAGTGGGCTATGCTGTTAATTATTAGCATTGTTGTTCAATTAACACCGTTAGCAATACTTTAATGAGTTTATTGGCAATAGTTAATTATGTTATTGAGCTAGATGTTTTTGCTGTGTTTGTTGATGGGATTGGAGATGCTTCTGCTCTTGTGAGGTTCCACTGACTTTTATTATTAAGGACTATAATAATAGAGAAGGCTGAGCTCAGATGTTAATTAGTTTACTTCCCATGATGGCAAATTGTTCCAACTCATTATATGATTGAAATATTTTAGTGTGTTTTAAGTAGTGTAGTGTTTTAAGTGAACTATGAATCCTGGAAGAGAGTGTCCAGCCAGCAAGTCTTGACCTTAAGCTTCTTATATAGAGCCGGTAAAGATAACTTACAGCACCCCAATGAGTCCACTTCGAAACAGCATAAAAAATAAAAAAAAACAAAACGAAAACCAAACAGAAGGTTATGAGTGGTCCAGACATACTGTATATTTGATCACGCTGATGTTAAAGATGTCACATTTATCCTCAGATATGATGGGGTGCAAATACTTTTCCACAGTCCAAGGCAGGTTACTTTAGAGGATTCTTTGAAATAGCAAATCGTCATTTAAATAATTTCTTTCGAATCACCTTTATTTTACATGACAATTTCTGCAGTGAAGCACTTTAATTTCCACACACCACTATCCAGGGACACACTTATCATCCTGACGTCTGCCGTAAGAGGGAAGCCGAGCTCCACGTTTAGTAATTAGTGGATGACGTTTAACCTCCGTCCGCGGTGCTTTAATCCGCACCGAGTTGCAAAGGAAACAAGTGAAACCACATAAACACCGAGTTCAGCACCACGACTGGCGGACAGCTCCTGCACAGAGAGGGGCGTGTCCCTCAGGATCCCCGTCATTATGTGTCCTGTTCTCACTGAATTCAAGCAAAAACATGAAACTTTACTGATATTACAAATCCACCTCGGCTTTTATTCTAACACAGAATCATTTTCATTGATGAATGATGTCATCCCTCCTCTTCTTTCAGGAACGCTGTTGACGGAAACAAGAAGTTGTTCGCCATCTATGACACCAGGTGAGGAGAGTCCTGATCCCAGTCCTGATCCCAGACCTGATCCCAGTCCTGATCCCAGTCCTGATCCCAGTCCTGATCCCTGACCTGATCCCAGTCCTGATCCCTGACTGGCGGTTCCTTCCTGCTCGGACCGGAACCGCCTTTCTAATCAAGCACCATTGTGCGAGCTAATGTTTAAGATGACATAAATAAAAGGCCGTTGGTCGCAAAGACCAATCACATATCGATTAAAAGATAGATTAAAAAAAACAACAACAACAAAAACAGCCTGCCTTCTCTGGATAATGTTCCGCTCGCGCCATTTTTATTGGAAACACGGCAGAAAGGGAATTGGCGCTGGTGTGGGGCACACTGTAAAAAATGTCCATTTAGAGAAGTTGATCTTCGCTAAATGAAGAATATATATAGAAAAATGTTCAGTTAGTATTTGCAAAAATCTTAACACGTGTTTTACAGAATTAAATACGTTTATCTAATGATAAAAACAAAGACAATTAAAAAAATAAACTATTAATGCTTTTTGTTAATAAAGGCCATAACTTTTCTGTATACTAATTCATCATATTTATTTCTATTCTAGCTTTAAAAATGAAAAATAAAAAAATAAACATTAACCAGCATTTTGTGTATGACTAATTTATTGAGATACAAACATTTAGAAATACAATTGAACAGTTAATTGAAGATTGCTACCCTTTACACTCATGGTAGCCATATTGGATTTTGTGGTTGGGACTAGTGAAGAGCTTCTGTCCAGTTTGGAAAGCCAACATTTGGGGGCATGGTCTTGCTGATAGTGACAGATGAAGTATAAACTATGTATAAGTACTGTGGGAATACCATTATTAGCTTGTTGAAGGGTTTATTTCAAAAACCTTTGCGTTGTCACAAATCGTCAGAAATTACACGTTAATGTTTAAAATGTCTTAATTAAAATGATTTGAACATTTTGGGTTACATATCATCTTTTCTGTTTGGACTTGATCTTGATTGCAGGTCGTGGACATTTTTTACAGTGTGATAAGTGTTGAGCTTCGTCTCTGGTTTGAACAAGCCCAGAGCCACAATCAGCAGCAGCAGCAGCAGCAGCAGCATCCATCCCTCATCAATATGCGCTCCAGCTTCTCAATTTAAGAGCCTCTCGCACATTTAGACATGGGCAAATAAAAAAGAAAAGAGAAATAATAACACCCAGGCGAAGCCCAACAATCCCGCCGAGGGAGGATGTCAGCCCACATTCCACATCTGACTCCGTCTGCAGCAGACTTTTTCCGCGTCTCGGTCGACTTTCTGCGGGTGTATTATTGTTATTTTGTATTTTTTTGTGCGAGGGGGGAATCCTCCATGGACCTGCGTGCGAAAAGACTGTTGATTGCGGCGTAGGAGGCGTGTCTGTAAACTGCAGGGGATAAAGAATATCACTAATTATAGCAGGTAACAATCAACTCAAATTAGAGGGAGAAGGAAGATGTTCACTCTGCCGAAGGTTCGTCAGTTTCGCGTCTTGACCGCGCTGATTATCGGGGCGATTGTGTGCTGCGCAAAAAGGTGAGTGCGCTTTTTTTTCTTGTTTTGTATCTGCGCCCAACAAGTCAAGGTTATTGGTCAGGTTAATTGGCACGGCAGCCATCGGGTTGTGCTTGCTCTCATTCCTCCGCTGTCCTTTCAGCGTCAACGAACCGGGCAACATGTCCATCGTGAAGGAGACGGTGGATAAACTACTGAAGGGGTACGACATCCGACTGAGACCGGACTTTGGAGGTACACGGCCCGTCATGGTCCATTATTGGCGCGCTGCTTTGGCGCCATTCCCACTATGGTGGTCAGGTACTCAACACTGTTTCACCTCTTCCAGGCCCCCCAGTTGCAGTTGGCATGAGTATAGATGTGGCCAGCATAGACATGGTGTCAGAAGTCAACATGGTGAGTGGATTTTTATGTGTTTTTAGCGCATGCTATGGAAGTGCAGTGCTGCCATAATTCATTAACTAAATAGTCAAAAGATTTCAAATGTGTAACTTAAACTGAAATTAAAGTAATTTGTTCAGACAATTTGCATGAGGCTAAATGTGGTGTCAGAGGTAAACATGGTTAGTTTTAGTGTGTTTGTCTAAATCTACGGCGGTTCAGAACTGCCAAAATTTAATTAATGAATAATACAAGTATTGATTGAACTTACCATCAATCAGTTAAAATTAGTAAGTTAGCTTGATTAGAAACATAATTCAAAGCTACAAACATTATATAAGCCTTTAGTGAGTATTCATCAGGGGAGTGAATTTTGGGCAAGTTCACTCTCCTGATGTATGACCTCTGACAAACGTACTCCAAGTTATCTCCTTTTAGCGTTACGTTATAGAATTATAAAACTAAGTTTTCTCTCAATATACTATAGGTAAAGAAATTTTATTTTAAGTATGAAATGTTTCCCTGGGCATCATGTTGTACTAAAAAAAAATCAAGTCTTTATGAAAAGACATAATAATGGGTAGATAAAGGTCATAAATCACCAGCACTGGTAGTGGTGACAATTTAGGTAGGTCAGGTCAACAATTATATTCAAATCATCATTACTTGAATTATGTCTTAGGTCATGAATAAATAAGTATTTATTCTTTTTTTTTTTAATTAAATTGTGGCACTTTCGTCTCTCTATACTGACCATGCAGTCTTGCTTCCTCCTTCACTTCCTCCACTTGTCCCTCCCCACCCAACACATAATACGGTCATGTGGGTTTTTGGTGTTTCTTTATCTGGAACATTGGCAGCAGCAGCAGCAGCAGCAACACTGCTTCCAACAATCCTCAGACAGAAGGCTCACTTTAGAGACCAGATTAAAGCTGCAGCCATGCTCTCACAATCGATACACTCCAAGAGCTCTCCATTCAGATCTTTTTGATGCAGAAGAATTCACAGCTCTGCTTGTTAACCTCGGCTGTTACCGTAACACTGTCCTCCCCGGAGGCCCCTCCGAGCAGACAGCTATCATAGAGCTCAGATTGGATTAGTTAATTCATGAGCTAAATGCTCCCCACTTTACCCTGCACCCCCTCCTTCCCTTTACCATGTCGACACGTGCACCCGCATGCAAGAAAAGTAACTTCAGGCTATTGTATCTTAAAATATCAGCTGATGATGACCCAAATTGCAGTTGGAAATGATCTGCCAGTGGCTATGCTTCTTCCTGTTCTTTGCAGGAGCAAAA